TGTTTTGTTAGGAAACAAGGTTGCAGTCTACAATGCTAATATGAGTAAAATGTAAAACACAGTTCAGTTGTCCAACTAATACGGATTATTATCATTATTAAAGTATTTGTGAAGGCCAAACCGGGGAGTAAGCATTGCAATGGTTATGTAATGAAAAAAACATTTTCATTTTGATTTATTACGGAAAAAGCTCTGTGGCACAAAAAAATTAACAATAATGACATATTCTTTTCAACAGGATCCATTTAACAAAAGGAAAAAAGTTAAAATACGGCTATAAACAAACTATACCTACATGAGTGGTACAGATGGCGGGGCAGTGAAAGTGCAATAGTTGTCAGGATAACGCGTTGTAGGCTCTTATCGCTACACGGTGGTAACTGACTTTTTCAAGAAACTTTCGAAATTCACAGAGTGGGGTGTTGTTCCGTCGGATTTCATATCGTAGAACAAGAGCAAAAATACATATCAATACAGAGCTTCAGGACTCATTCCTGCACCACCCCATTATAACCCCACCCACCCCATTATCGTGTTCCATGGACGGTTTGCATCGGATGCCTGTGCTTTGACCTGGTCGCGCCCTGCAGCCGCTCAGAGAGAGGCAGGACGGGGATGAAGGGAAAGCGACCGAGCGTGGACGAGACCACCGAAGGGATGCAAGGCTGATCAAAATGGTCAAACGGATTGGATGTCCGGTAATTTAGCAGATTAAATCGCTAGGTAACACTAGCTGTAAGTGAAAAAATACTCTGCCTGAGATGACCCTTTAAGGTGACCAGAGAGCAGGCTGCACACAGCAGGTCAGGACAACTTGGCCACGCAGGTAAACATTACAGTTTTTACTGTTTGACTAAGGCAAAGGCAAGCCAAGCTCACCTTGACCATCTGCCGTATTCCAATGCACATTCCTATTCATGTGACCATTTGGATCACAAAGCAGATTACATTCAATTTAGCAAGAAGAAGAAAGTGTCCATCTTTCAGTATGCTTTCTAGGAGGAGTTCTAGAGTTCTCCTCCCCTCTCCTCCTCTTAAGTTTTGCACCCCACAGTTATTTTGTTTTTTGATGAACGACAATGTGTTCTATCAGTAAGTGTAAAAAGCTTGTTGTCTGCATTGTTCCTTGTGGACGTCCACGGGGCTATTTCCAACCCCCCCAATGAATGCTGTCCAGAAGTCTACGTTTCAAGGTCCAACCAGTCCATGCAGGCAACTTGTCACAGAGAAATATTTAAACTACTCCGATGACCTCTGCCAAGAAGATGGACAGGAAGTTTGTCCACAGCTGCCGATTTGTAGAGTCATTCATTTTCAAACTTGCAGCCCGTCAAGGGTCTCGCCTCTGCTTTCACTGCAGGCTTTGTTACCTTCCTGTCGCAGAACCTCATTGAAACCTTTACCCACTGAAGTTCTGCTGCTCTCAGGACAAAGCACGCTGTGCCTACTTGATGGGTTTTCTGTGCTCTTCCCATAAACTGCATTGATACACTGAAAGTGATACTTAATCATGGGACAGAGGCTCCTTGTGGACAGAGGACTTACTGTGAGAACTTAACACCGGTTTGCCATGTGTGTAACATTTCATGACCGACATGCAAGTCTAGAAGTTATAGTGTTAATATATTATAGATTGACGTTATGAATGCTTGCAGATATGCCATCAACAGAAGAAAACCTATAGTCAAAAATCGGTGCGATATAATCAATGATTCAACAGTACGTGTGAAGAAGTTTTCAGTTTCAAAATGAGTTTTTTTTAGTTTAGTTTTTTGTTTGTTTTTTGTTTTTGGCATGCCAATCGATGTGGAAGTTTTAGAGCTGGTTGTCCCACTGAACACTGATCTCCAGCCCATCGTCGGGCATTTCGCATTAAAAAGGCAGCCAGCCAATCAGGGAGGATGTGCCAAAAGTGTGACAGTGCGCCACTTACCCCGAGCCGTTAAAGTCCCGAGAACAGCTACGACTCCAAAAAATATCCAAAACCTGCTTTCTGCCATCACGTTCCCGGACCACTGCACCGCACTATGTCGAAATGTTGCGTTTGAGAGCAAGGGAGAGGCAGTGAAGAAGAGCCCTAAATCCCTCGACCAAACACCCTGTCTGCCGCCCACCCCGGCTGTTGCTGTCCACGGCTCAGATTTCACAGCAGCTGGGAAGCGCTAAACCAGGACTTCAAGTCACACTGCGGTCACCCACAATAACCATCATCATGGTCATTAGACAACGACTATCTGAGGCCATGCCAGTTATTTAAAGCATTTCTTTAACAAAATGTTGGCTTTTGTGCTTTTTGACACCAATGTGATACATCTCCAATATCCCCGTGGCAGTCAAATTGTTGTAGTTCTATTTTTATATGTGTCTCACATTGTAGGATCTGGTTGCTTTCTTTAGATGGGAAACGGTTTCATAGTGGTGCTGACTTCGCATTTCTGTGCATCTAATATCGTATTTTGTGTCTTGTCCATTTGCTGTGCATCAGACACAGCAAAAAAAAGCAGGAAGATCCCTGTGGGTGCAGCAGGGTGTGTGGGCCTGCTCGCTCCCCGTCTGCAGTATTTACACGTACCGCAAAGCCTCTTCGCTTCAACGGCGAGACTCCCGTAGTGACAGAGTGACGTCAGACATCAGTGCAGCGGGATCAGAGGGCTCGAGGCGAACAATGCTCATAAAACTCCATGGAGACAGAGACTTTGAACTACTTAAGATGAGCTGGAGGACCTTTTTGCTACTAAGGCAAATAGTAAAGTACAAACTAGACGGAAATTGCGAGACTGAATTCTCTCTTGTGATTAGTGCTGTGAGTAATAGAAGTAGTGCCACCCTGCAGCGACAAGGGCAACACACGGACTGATTTTTGGAATGTGCAATTTGAGTTGCATAGTATGTGATGAACTTCTAAATATACAGTTGGGGAAACAGAGATGAGCTTCTTCAAGGCAACTGGAGCCTCCAGAAGCCATATTATGTGTCTGACACTCGGTTCAGCTCAGTTCGGAGCTCAGGGGCCGATGAAGGTCTGGATCCGTCCGGCCTCAAAGACAGAGCGGGGCAAAAGAACAAGCATTTTAGATTCAGCCAAATAGGTTTTTGAAATTTTAAGACAAAGGAAACTATCAGCGTGAGCTTTAGGTCACTTTTTGCCACCACAACTAGTCGGGGTGTCTAGCATTTGCTCCTCCAGCCTGTTCTGTGCAGCTGAAGCCAAGAATATTTCTCTCAAGTCAAACCAATTGTATTCGGCACTCCTTTAAAATAACTGACAAGGAGGCCTCCCTATCTAAGATGACAAAAAAGGTATACTGTGGTTTTTATTAATAGAAACAGCTCTAAAAATGCTCTACTGAAATAAAATCAAAACAACAACATTACGATGCCTACAAAGCATTCAATATTTTGAATCTCTATGCGTTTCTCTGATGTTCGAGCACAAAATTCTTTCATGCTTTACTGAACCACCATAGATGAATTAAGTCAAACAAGTCACATGTTCCTTGTGCTTAGTTTGCTAAGTACTTTGCACCTGTTAACCATGTCAGACAGGTTTTTTTTTTTTTAACCACACATTTTTCAGGGACTTTCTATTTAAAAATGAATATAATCAGAGTTTGTAATCTGAGATTATCCACCATAAGAGTCTCATGTTTTCACAGGGATTCACAGTCTTCCCCCGTCGGTTGCTGCCGTCTTCTGATGGGATCAGTCATTGGTTGCACGTAGTAAAAGCCCCATGACCAGCCCCTAATGACTGCCCCGGCTTTCACCGTCTCCCCGCTCCTCCGCTGCAAACAATTGTTAAGTGCCTCTCCAAAGAGCACACATGTGGTTTGGCTTGAGTCTGTTCGACCTCCCCCCCAGCTGATGCAGAAGAGCCATTGATAGCGACCAATCAGCACGTTTCCCATGATTATCATTATCAGAGGTGACAATCATGGGAACACCCTTAATGCAGTACATATCTACTGACATGCCTCGGACTTCAGACTTCAACTATCCTATGTAATCCCTTAATAATAAGTTATACCTCATTCAAAATGGATGTAGCATATGAATACACGTTGGTGAAAATATTTTTTTCCCTTCAAAAATAGTTTCCATCAATGTTCAGTAGAACTGCAGATGTCCAATTTTGAATTAGATTAAGAAACTTCATTTTGCCGTCCGGAAACTTAGCTAAAACGACAACAGAAAGCAGATTTAAAGGATCAATGCAGAGGCTCAACCAGGTTGCAATAAAAATGTAAAAGTGAGGAATAAATAAATTAGTTTATATTGAGAGTGACCTGAGATATTCATATGTTTCATGTCCTACTCCCTTTCATCCATCCATCCATCCATTGTCAAACCGCTTATCCTGCACACAGGGTCGCGGGGGGGCCGGAGTCCATCCCAGCCAACTTCGGGCGATAGACAGGGTACATCCTGGATTGGTCGCCAGCCAATCGCAGGGCTACACAGAGACATACAACCATCCACACTCACATTCACACATCTACGGGCAATTTGAAGTCCCCAATTAACCTGATTCCCAGAGCATGTCTTTGGACTGTGGGAGGAAGCCGGAGAACCCGGAGAGAACCCACGCAGACACGGGGAGAACATGCAGACTCCACACAGAAAGGCCTCTGGGCGGAATCGAACCCAGGACCTTCTTGCTGTGAGGAAACAGTGCTAACCACCCTGTCACCGTGCCGCCATGTTTTCCCAGGGATTCACAGTCTTCCCCCGTCGTCGGTTACTCCCTTTCAAACTAAAACTAACGGAAATGTGTGTCAGCACTGCTGTAATGTGTGGTAGTTGGAGTGGGCTTGTGTGTGTGTGTGTGTGTGTGTGTGTGTGTGTGTGTGTGTGTGTGTGTGTGGGCGTGTGTGAGTTCTTGAGAATGAGAGAGAAAGAGAGCGAGAGGAGGAGGAGGAGGAGGAGAGGGAGAAGGGAGGATTGTAGAGGTGGGAGGAGAGGAGAAGTAGCAAGTGTTCACCCGAACTGAGCAGCAGCGCTTATATTGAAGATGAACCTGGGAGGGGAAGGAGGTTACTGGAGGACAACCGTCCGCTCTGCATTATCAGCCAGTGGCTGATCTTTGGACTCTCGGATTGAGCAACACTCAGAGAGAAAAAGCAGCTTCAAAATCAGTCCGAAACAAAGGCAGGAAAGAGGAGACGTGAATGGAAGAAAGCCAAGAGGGAAAAAGCAAAAAGAACGAGCTACGGCAGACTGAGTCCCATCAGTGCAACGAGGGAAAGCAGCCCTCTGGGAGGTGCAATGCTTGAGATCACTTTTAATTTAAGCTTCTAGGGAGGAGTATGAAAGATTTGTGAGAACGGGGGAAGGAGGGGGTCGTTGGGGGTGGGGAGGGTCGGAGTCAGAGGTCCAATGGGGAGTAATTGTGGTGACAGCCAGTGCAAGGGGACAAGGGTTCATGTGAGACACAGAGGAGGTGAGATATAAGGACAAAGAGAAGGAAGCGAGGGGGGACCGGCGTGGACTTCAGTATGGGTGTTAAGAGCAAAGCTGCTGCTGCTATCGTAGTCCTGCTGCTGTTCCTCGGCTCCCTGTGGATCCGTGAGTATTCCTCTGTGTGTGTGTGTGTGTGTGTGTGTGTGTGTGTGTGTGTGTGTGTGTGTGTGTGTGTGTGTGTGTGTGTGAGTGAGTGTGTGAGCTGCCATGTGGGATTTCTGTGTTGTGCTATTAATCCAGACAATCCCTCCCTTGTTTGAAATGCACGTGCTCCTGGGCAGGAATGTGTCACATGGTGGCTGCAGGATCAAACATGATGGTTACACCACTTACTGCTCACCGTTTATAATAAAAAACATAAGTATTACTAAGTGGAAGTGGGAGATGATATAGTTGTTATTTACATAAGCTCTTTAAGATAAACCATTTTTATACATGAGGAAAAATAAAATAAAAAATAAGTATTGCTCAGTATGAAAAAATAAGACACTTGTGTAGCTATATTCAATGGGATGGTGGGATATTTTTCTCTCGGTCGGACTAGATTCAAAGATTTCAGAGACTTGAGTGAGATTTGAGAGTGCAAACTGAGCTGAAAGGAAAGTTCATTTGGGAGCATGAACAGCCCACATCTACAATAGATCACGGACAAGTTAGAAATATATGTGTTGAGTTTGAATTGAGTTTGGTAGCTCAGTGAGGGCTGATCTATGAGGAGCCGTTTAGGAATCTTACATGTAGTGTGTGAAAGCAGTTCAATAGTGAACGTAAGAGTGTTTCACTAGTACGTGTACGAGTGTCTCAGGTGTAAGGTGGTCGAATACACCTGTTCCTTACCTGTGTGGTCTGGAGACCTGCAGAGGCCTCCCGACAGGAGGTCCCCAACAAAAGTGTGGATTTACTGCAGTAAATTGAATTAAATATACCATCGTTGCATTGAATGAAGTATGCTGGGAAATTACAAATTTGTCACAGACTATAAGACCTCACGGGGCTCAATGTCATTGTAATGTTATTTTAATAACTGTAGTATAGTATTATACGCCTTTTTTTTTACTCAAGCGTTATTACTATACACCTACTTATTCAAGTTGGGTGTAATCATTCTTTTTTAAATAACCAATAATGACTCAAATGAGAATCCGACAATATAACAAGAGGTTGCTCGTTGTAATGAAAAGTACTTAGTACCGAAAACTGCAGCTCATCTCAGCATTAAGGAGCTTTAGAGCGAGTTTCAGCTGATGGTTTTATTCTCATAACGTGGTTTTCAGCTGGATTAGCCAGTGTCAGCAAACACGCTCTAACAACCCTCTCTGCTCACACAATGTTACACTACAGTTGGTTATGATATTGTAGCCTTTGCAGCTAAAGAGCTAGATATTTCTCCTGAGGTCTCATTCATTAGGTGACCAGAAGCATGACTCTAAATTGTTTGCGGAAATTGAGTCACACTGAACTCTACAAACAAATCAGATGTGCCCGAATTGTCTTGAATTAAACCAGCCGGATATCTAGGTGTAGTTATGGATTCAGACAACTATTCCAAAATGATCACCTGGAGAATATATCAAGGATTTGAGGACTTATGGAAAAGTTGTCCTCATGCATTTATCTTCAGTGGACTCCACTGTTGACTCGCTCTGGTCACGAGTCTATAAGCTGCAGCTCGAGTCCTCACTCAGACCAAGTGGATCACATCACTGTCGCTCTAGAGGCCTTCACACTGGCTTCCTGTCCAAAGAATTGACTTCAAAATCCTGCTGTTGGTTTTTAAGGAACGAAATACATATCTCACCCTGGGGTCGTCGGGTCGTCTGGGACGGGTCTCCTCTCTGTTCCTAAAGTCAGAACCAAACATGGAGAAGCAGCGTTCAGTTTTCTGGTCCACATAAAGTATCTGGACAACAAACTCCCAGAAATCTGCTGAGACTCCGCTGCTTAAATACTGAAGACTTTTCTGTTTGCTGCTTCCTTTAATTTAACCAGATGTAAGGAAGCTGCTTATTCAGTTCATTTAGTTCAGGGAAGTAACCTTTGTTCTGGGAATCTAAAACAGTCCTAAGAAAGACTTTTTCTACAATTTAATTAATGAAACATTATTTTTTGCCTTAGGTTTTGATGGTTTTAACGGCCTTATGTGAAGCATTTTGAATACCCTTGTTGTTGAAATGTGCTATACAAATATGTTCGCTCGCTTATAATTCAGTTTGTCTTATGTGTCGAATGCAGATGTTCCAGTATACTCAGACCAAAAGGTCTACGATTCAACACTAACAGTGTGGACTTCTCTTGTTTCTCTTCACAATGTCTCACCGCAGAAGGAGGTTTGGATTACCAATGGGAATCTTGTTTGAAAGGATATAATCAAGTGAACACGGTAATAGCACACAGATCATAATGCATTTCCTAACTAACTACATTTCCCCCATTAAGCTGATGTTGCAAGCAGATGGCTAATTTGAATGCAGTGAATCTCTTCTGCTTTCCCCCTTCCTTTGTCCCCTGTCAATCGCCCCCACGCACACACTCTACCCATAATCCCTCCGCCCACCCCCCGACTGGCAGCTCCACCAGCTGTACAACAGCAGTGATGGCGATGGGGCTGAGGGCCCCAGAATCATGGAGGGGTGCCCCGGTCAGACGTTCCAGGTGTCACTCCTGCTCTCCCACCTGCTGGCAGGACCCGCCTACGCCTCGGACGTGCTAATGCAGCCGTATCTGTCCAGCTGGGACGAGCTTGTGAGGTAAAACAATCAGATAAAGCGTGAGAGCTGGATTAATTTACAGCCAACAGAAAGAGATACCTCGTTTACGGCATGCTGGATTCTGTGAGATGATTCATCTTTTTCTGGTTTACTCCTCCAGGTTTATGGAGGCCCTTGGCCCCATGGTGGGACTGATTTCTAAAGAGATAGAAAGCAAGACTTCCATAATCCGTCAACTGGCCCTGTTATCAAAAGAGAGCCCTGAAGCCGAGCTGGGCCCAGATATACATTCAATAAACAGTGTGAGGACAGAGACTGGGGCAGAGAACAACCCGGAGGCCTCACAGCACACTGGCGCTTATCACTCGGTGCGCTCCATGATCTGGGTGGAGCTGAACCGAGGACTGGTGGACTTCAACCACCAGACGGACTCGGGGTGCAGGACGCTTCTGCGTCTGCACCGCGCTCTGCTCTGGTTGAAGCTCTTCCTGCAGAAGCTGGCCGAGACGCCAGCGGCCGGCCGGCTGAGGAGCCCCTCGGAGCTGTGCCGGGAGGCCTACCAGAGCACCCTCGCCAACCATCACACCTGGTTCGTCCGCCGGGCCGCCGAGCTGGCCTTCATCGCCATGCCAGAGCGGGGTTTCTTCTTCAAGTTGGTGTGCGTCCAGAGCCAGGAGGAGCTGAACGTGGTGCTGAACAGAGTGGTTCAGGCCATTGGGGAGATTTATGACAGGACGCAGAAGGCCCTGGAGGAAAACAACATGCTGGACTTGCCATAGGGAAGCGGCTCTCGGACTCGACCGTACTTGCACTGCCCTCGTGGTCTTCCCGGGCTTCACACTTAAATGTCTAGCTAACAAACGTGGTGAGAACAAGGACAAATTAATGAACTTTTTAAGGCTACAATTCACACGTGCCATACTCTCCCATCCCGAACCAAAGGGCTGCGTCGACAATCAACTGATACTGAAAGAGAGATTGCTTTTGGCCTGTGGACAATCTTTATTACACTTTACGAGATTATGACTGGGCCGATGCATTCAAGCATCTAAACAAACTAAACTAAACAAAGAACTTGAACTATTTAAGCAGGAGTACCTAATAACATGGACACCACACACCCAAAGCAACCCTCTGCAATACAGCTGAAATAAATACAGCATTTGTTAAGCTGTTAATCTTTCTCAGCATTCGTCACAGGAGAGGTGAATTGCAATGATGGATTGCATCAGATTCTAGAATTCCTGGTTTGTTTTTACGTTTAGAATGTAATTAAAAAATGTGCTGTTTAGCTGTAGCTAATGCTTGTTGGTTTAGAATGGTGACCGGCTCGGTCGAGATGCCTTCTGGCCTTTAAATCTGGGACCAATCCCTCCCAATTAAAGATATATTATACAACACAAATCAGCATATGCTGAACAAAAGGACTAAATGATGCTTCGTAGCATCCGTGGTGTGAGTGTGAAAAATAAATTTCTCTGTTGTATTTTGTAAATTTTTCTATCATGTTCATAATTATTAAATAAAAAGAAACGATCCAGATGGTCGAGTGACGTGATAACCCTGTGTAATGTGACCCACCATCCGGCAGGGGACCCGGTGCTCGGCTACAGACTAATCCTCACTTGCTTTCATCATGGTGGATGTAATCTGCCCTCTGTGAACCTCCCACCTGGACACTGTTGGTGGAAATGTCTTTTTTTTTAAACCCTAGTACAAATGCTGTTCCTCTTCATTTTATCTCTTTGTTTGTAGGTAAATATTAAATTAAATGGCTTAAATACCAGAAAAACTCCTAATCCGAAGCTTATCAAAATGTTGCATATTAAAGAGGATTTACATCAAATGTGTGTGTAACAGAGAGAATAGAATGTGTAAGAATCCATCACCAGTGCTCCCCGTGATCGGAATATTTCAAACCCACAAATACATCTAACGCCACGTAATCCGGACTTTACTGGACTGTGCTCTCTCTTTCTGATGAGAAAGGGAAGAAAGGACAGATAAGAATAGAGCCTGAGGACTCGGAGTGAGCAGGACACAGGAGCTGCATGAAGGTCAGGGAGCGGAAGCGCACTTCAGCTGTAATCTTGTCAAGCAGCTGGCGGCAAACTAAAGTAAAGCGGCCTTCACAAGGAAAAAATGAAGAATACCAACTAAAACAGTCCACACATTTCAAAGCTCTGGCCGATCATTATTCATGTTTCTGAACGACTACTCGTACTAGAATACGACCGACTTCCATTCGTGACCTTTAACCTTGTGTAGGAGGATGCCTTGTTGCTGGTGGAATTTCCACTACCTAATCACCGTTTGATACTCTGCTCTGCACGCCGAGGCTGTGAGGTTAATCGGTGACTCTAAATGACCCGTAGTTGTGTGAGAGAATGGTTTGTCTATGTGAGCCCTCGATGTTAGCGCGGATGGATTCCAGCCCCCCCCCCCCCCCCCTCCCCCCCCCATGTGACCCTCTAAGAACAGGCGGTAAAAGAAGAGGACTAACTCACTATTGACGGCTAGAAAGATGCAAAGTCTGAAAGTCAAAGTCAACCAAAGCTGCTATCTCTAATCCCACGTGCGGCCTAAAGCGTGCTTACATAACTCTGGACAGCCGTCAAATGAGAAAGAATTTGACTTGTCGTTGGCCGCGGCCCACTGAGCAGCCGGGGTCACAGTGGGCTGGGTCTGACCTGTGGAACAGCAGCAACACGTGATGCAACAGTTAGTATCTCTGCAACACAATGCATGGACACCTGTGACATCATGTCAACATTGTCATATCCGTACACACAGTTGATAATCCGTGTCAAAGAAAATGACCATTTGTCATTTGTCACCATCAATTACTCAATGAATGTGGAAGTTTGCCCAAGCTGGATTTGAGTACATGAAGGTCAGGTTTAAAAAAAGAAACACGATATCAAGTTATGTTAACAAAGTCTCAATTGCAAGTGCAATATAATCAAAATGTTGTTTATCCAGTCGTATGTTTAATGCCGTTACTTCCCAAACAATTTTAATCTTACTAATTAAATAACTTCTCACACTCTCCATACTAGAATTACCGATGCGCGATGTCGGTGCATGAGACAGTAGAGGAAGAATTTCAAGCAGTAAGATTTGGGTAAAATACCAAAGTTTAAGACACAGATGTTTTTGTATTTTTGCTGTTGTTAGACATGGATTCCATTAACCGCACGTCATGAAGGATTAGCCCATGATTTACAAAATCCCTTCTCTCATTCCATTATGACACCATACATGACTGAGAAGCAACAAATACGCGGCAGCCCAATTTCCCTTAAATTACATTTATTTATTTCTCTATGTTGGTTTGCAGTAAACATGAGCAAAAATATACATACAGTAAGAGCAAAAAAAAGAAGATCCAGAATAGAATCATCATCCTTTTGGGGCAAGAGAATGTCAACAGAATTTCATGAATTTCTCGCTTTAACTATCCCTACACCGCCGTCTCAGGCAATACAGCGGTGTAAGACAAGGGGTTACGTGGGGGAAAGGAGGTTTGTTGAAATGATGCCTTATTTGAAGCGTGAATAATGATCTCTCTGACATTTGCACTGTGCAGGGTGCTAGTGATGGTCTGAAAAGTTCATGAAGGTTTAGACATTGAAAGTTCTTTCTGATGTATTCAAGATTCAAACCATATCAAAATAAGTTTCTACATTAAAAAAATGTTTTCCAACCAAGCTGCTAACATCTTGCCATTTGTTGAACAATTAATAGATAGCTCCCACAACATGATACAATCCAAGTTCATAAATTCTCTCCACTTTACAACAAAATAACAATAAAAATCTCTTTTATAAATAAAACTTCACTTCATATTCCATCATGATAATGGACACTGGCTAAATTGCCTTACTGCGTTTATCTTTACTCTCTTCCCTTTGTCTTTCAGGCTCTTGATGATAAACCGAGTTAAAGCCTTTATAATAAATACACACAGCCCCTCAAGAAATAAATGTATTGCTTTTATAGGACATCTCCAAATTATCACAGAAAAAAAAACATAAATGGAGATAACAGGAAATAACATTCTGGGACACTGGGTAATAACACTGTCTATCCACCAAGAGGCACTGTTATGTTGTAGTGAAACACGTTCGTCTTGTGCGTTGTATCATTTTTATTATTATTATTTGTATCATTATTATATAAGGGTGGACCTTTAAATAACACAGGGCGCTAACCCTCTGCTTGGATCCTATAGTATCCCTGGTGAGGATTTGTCAATGCAGCACCAATAAATTCAATTTAAACTGCCATGAAGGTCTTTGGTTGAAGAACTAATCTCCACATGCACATGAGTAAAACGAGAATGGCCAATTAGGTCGTGAAGCAGAAGATTTGATTTGCCACGATGGGATTTAATAGGATTCAATTTGAGAATGATTAGGGTAAAATTGGTATGAATGCATTTTTTTTATAGTGAGGCTTTCTTTATACATTTTGAAGACAGTGAATGAAGCATTTGACACGAGGAGGAGGAGCAACAAAGTAGGTTAAAGAAGTTGAGCGTGCCTGCTCTGGATTAGTGAGACCAGATTAAGAGATTAAGTAAGTGTTGTAGGAAAGCCAGAGGAGAAATACATGAACTGCTCGGTGAATGGTCGGTGAAAAATTAAGAAATATCATTCAAAGAAGAAAATATTTGTTTTGTTAATTTCCTACAGGACAAGAAAACTACCAACTTATGTATTCAAAGACTCTTGCAACTATTAAAAGAATATGTAAACTCTACCGTTTGATCTTCTGGACGGAAATTGTTGAGGATGAGAACACGTAAGAGTGAGGCGCAAAAACAAACAGTGGCATCTATTTATGATACATATAAAATAGATGCAATAAATGAAATATATATAAATATTTGTGTTTAAACTAGTTAAAATGGAGACACAAGAAAACAGCTCTTGGTTCAGCTTTAGGAATAACTTGATAGACACAGTGACAGCGAGTGTAACGTCTGTTTTGCCGTTTTCATTTGATATTCACGGAGTGGCTTGAAGGCCGTTGTTTAGCCTCTTGCTGATTGGCGGCTGTGTTTTTTTTTTTGTCCAATTAAGGTGATGTTGTAAGACGTCTGAAGCACGACTGACGTCTCCTTTCATAATAGTTGATCTGACATTGGAACCCGAATATGAACGACATCTGTTTCAAACTGTGCTCTCAGGTCAAACCACCCGTTTCAATATCAAATGATCCAAAAATAATGATCATTAAATAAACGTTGTCTCATCCAAAGAACAGACTCAGGCATTCCTAATGTATGCCACTTAATGAATATTGCACATCGCATGCAACTTCCCGACCTACAGTATGAAATGGGACCCGTAAAAGGAGCACACTCACAAACACACACACACACACGCACACACATGCACAAGCATACACAATCTTAAAGGTTTTTACCTCTCCTGTAACTTTGATTTTTGAGATGTCTATCTTACAGTATTCAAATTTTCAAAAATACACACTTGCTGTGTGTAAGTTTCAGTAGATGACAGTGTGGCCGCCCCTGGTGGTCTGTAGTTTACCATTAGTTTGTTTCACACATAGCAGAGAGGTGGGACATTGGGGCCTTCTGCCCTCGTAGCACGCTAAAGACAATACACACATGCAAAATGGCTTCACCTCACGCATCAAGATATATGAAACTCTGTTGGATTATTCTTTGAAGTGCAACAAAATAGATGTACAGATATAAGGTTATGATACTGTATAAATACTGTAGGTATACACATTTTGTATGGTGTGTTGTGTATATTTATAGAGGGTTACTCTATAAGGCGGCAGCAGGAGGGGAGCAGCAATAAAGTGTTAATGTTGCTGATCCTTGCAAACTTTGGAAACACATGTTCACATCCTTTTCATCCCATAGCTTTTCATGCAGTATAAATAGACTTCACCTGAAACTAATCTACAGAAAAGAATTTGTCCCAATGCTCACAGACAGAAAGAAATGACAGAACTACCACCCTTTTATTCTTGCCCTATATCATCATACAACTGGACCAACAATTTCCTCCAACATTTGGGGTGGTTGTAAACAATCCGTAGAAAAGGGTGTGAATACTGACATTTGTTTCTGAGAGTGAAGAAAGTAGTTTTCAGGAGAGGAAAATGGTCGACCTATTTAGTGTTGATCCTCAGCTTGAAAGATACCCTTCCGGCAAACTTGTCTCTTTCACTTCCAATGGGAATGTTAGTGGCGTTGATCCTGCACTCAATGTTGACATCTTCATTGGTAGTAATGTTAAGGAACTTAACGGCAACCAAAGGCTGAGAGTAGTTCACCTGCAAAAACATCGCCCAGGACATCTTTAACAACCTGCATTGTGTCCGGTATTTAACAAACTGTATAGCTATATGTGTGTTAGCTACCCGGTTATTATAAACAATATTTGCTATTGATTTTATACAAAATCTTACCTGAGCTTTCTTGCCATAGTACGGGTAGTACATGAGGTTAAAAATGCCATTTGGAGGGAAGTATACCATCTCTCCAATTTTGTCAGTGTCTTCTCTCTGAGAGAATGAAACAACTTCATGAGTTACAGGCACTACATATATGTTGAAGAGGAGAAATTGAGCACGGCAAATCTAGTTTGGTCTCAATCAAATCCCCAAAATGCCCACAATCTAGTTCAGTAGTCCATTTAATGCAATATTTATATACATACTGTATATACAGCTAAAATGCACACTACTGCGTATGTTCTAATGCAATCTAAAGTCTAAAAAACACGGGTACCGTTCCGTTCTTACCCATTGATCTTTGCCAATTTTGTATTTCTGAGAGTGAGCAAATGAATGAAATGCAATGGCAGGCGAAAAGGGAAAAGAAGAGGCGCATGCAGAGGTGGTATAAGTGACATGCAATGCAGATATGATAGTTGAGATGATAGAAGCACAGACATCAAAGGTGAGTGATGAGAGTGAGGCACACACGCTATAAATGGGTTGAAACCCAAGTTACTATGTTACACCTTTTATTGTGAAAGACAAAAGGGAATTACCTTGGCAGCACAGGTGACAAACGGAGCCTGTCCATCCTTCCCTGGCAGCATCCCAATTACCTGGAGAGACAGTGAGTCAGCATGAGTCCAGCAATATTCCCATTTTACATGTGTTTTTTCCTTTAAGATGAATAGAAAATACATTTTTAAAACACTTGGAAATATGCCAAAAATGAATAATAAATGCAGTAACCAAGGGACCGTTATCGTCATGCTAACTTTTCAGTCTGGGATATACTGGGATATTATTATTTGCAACCACTTTCATTATCTCAGTCACTGTGTCTCCTAGCAACACCATCCCTTTTCCGTCCTTCGTTCTCTTTCATACCCGATTCAGCTTGATGATGATACATGGCTGGCCAATCTGGTATCCATAGTAACGATCATTGATTCCAGAGCAGGCCTCCAGAATGGTGCGGTTGAACTGACAGGAGCGCTTCGGGTTGTTCTTCACATCACCGGTGTCCTCCTGCAGGAAGTACTCGTCTGGGGTGCACTCTTTATTCTTCTCAGTCTGGAGGGAGTTGTTGTAGGCTGCAGGGGCGGGGAGGACATACATTTGGTTTGTAAGGGCTTATGATTCCAATGAAGCAATGGTAAGAGACAATCTCCTACTCCTGTCTCTTATTATGTAAAACTATTTATTTTAGATTGCTGGATAATCCACGGCGGTAAGCTTTTTGAGTCACTGTACGAGATGCCGAGAGCCAGACTTACGTGTCAGGAATTTGTCCAGGGCCTGAGCGTACAAGTCCCAAGTCTCAGTGTTCCGGGTGTCATAGACAATCTCATAGGTCTCATCTGATTTGGGTCTAATCACCATGCCTGCACAGGAGAGACAGCAGGGGTTTCACGACACTGCGCCACAGGCCATGACCTGTGTCTGCACAATTTGTATTGTTAGCTACTGCACCTGGTGTGGCGAGCCTGTCTTGCCAGGTTGGTTTGTAGTCGTCCAAAGTCTGCAGCATGACATACATGGTGAGTGCAAACAAGCCGGCCAGGAAGATGTAGAAAACTACATAGAAGAGAAGAATCAGACCTGCAGACAGAGAGAAGTTGGTTGTATTATCATAGATAATGTATTCAGCTCAATAGACCGTATTCCTTTTGTACATTGAAACTTGCATGCTATTCAACAGGAGATAGGTAGGCCTCTTTAGAAAAGCTAAATTATGCAAATAGAATTAATCATGCAAATATTTATTATTTCAATAAATACATTTGTACAATACATTGGTCGTTTTCTCTGTTGTATTATTCACTGACACTTTCAAAAAAATAGTTTATTCCAAAATACACTTTGTACTTTGTACTTTGTTTGTGCTGGTGGCGGTGCATTACAATGAAAGCTTTTTGATTGGTCCATGAAGGCTAAATTAGCTCCATCTGCAATTTTGTGTAAGTGCAGTCATTTCATGATTACTGTAATGCATGTTTTTAAGTAGGAATAATCTATTTAGATAATGGAATCAGTTTATTTTATTTAAATGTAGCTGCAGTACAGTTTCTGTGTGGTCACTTTCGGATGTTCACAGGAGGCCAGTTAATCCTCATTAAACTATAAAACCATCTCTCACTTACTCTCTCACACACAAACATGGGTTTGCCATCCTTTACATACCTAAAATATAACTGCACAATATGGTCGAGAATTAAGACAAACTGATTAAGTATTTGCTCAAAATGATGCATCCATTAAACCAAGACTGAAAGGCTGGTCTCTGAATCTCAAAGCGATTCCCTGTCCACAGAGGGGGAGGACCGGTGACAGGGTAGGACATAGGAGGAGGGAGAACAAGGACCCCCTGGAGACTGGGCTTCAGGGTCCAGAGATTACAGGCTATCATTGACTAGACCTATTTCAACAACAGTGTAATAAGACCACGGTGATAATGTTACATGGGCTGCAGCGATGTACTACGTTCTCCCTTCTTATTAATCGCTGCCAAAATAACATCTCCCGATTGCTTGTTTGTCCCAATTAACAGTTGGAAACTGAAGGATAATACATTTGCATGATATTTAAGGAGCTCCGTATAGACATCAAAATGACAGCTTCTCATGAACTGATGTGTTTCATCACCGTCTCAAACATTTAATTGGAAAATGTAATAATCTGTAATATTGTGCCACCGTCACATCTGTATTATATTTAAGGCACAGAGGTTAGATGACATTCTGGCGTTCTTGCATACATCGAGAGCAGAAGGACATAAATCGCCCTTTTCCATGACACATCGCTCATTTTGAGCATCAACACCTGAGGCCTTCGTTTTGGCCCCCGGAGTGGAGCTGTCTTGCTGCAGCTGCCTCCCCACTCAGCGAGGCCCACAGGAAAGCGCGACTAAAGGTCAAGAGGAAGCTGCTCCACTCGGGGAATTACAGAGGGGCATCTTGATGATTTTGAGCTTGCGTGTGTGCTTGCATCTAATTGCACCAGAGTCATTGTAGTCTGAGGTGAAATGATTGAAAGGCTGAGTGAAATATCTGTTGAATGGAAAAGACCCAAGCTGAGTCATTAAATATTTAAAGAGCCAGCCCTCAAAGCCCCGGACCGAGCCGAAGGCGCTACAACGAGAGAGGCATCAGAGACGAGATGTGACAAAACAAAATGTTAAAGTCTTTTTCTATGTCATCCGGAGGGGATGTGGTGCGAGCCGCAAATATGACCCCACCCAGGGGAGACTGGATGTGACCACGTGCATATGGGTTCATGCGTGCTGGCAGGGTGGCTTTCCCCCTGGCAAAGAGGGTGTTAGGTTCACAGTCCGCCCACTCGGTCCATGCCGATGATGGACAGTGAAGCATCTCTCTTTCACCCTTTTTTTGTTCGACGGCAGTTGAAAGAAACATACAAAAGACCAGGTCGGGATGGACCAGCATCCCATTCTTTATTCAATAATAATAATAATAATGATAGCAGGAGGTTTCTCTATCGTTTCAGAATTAATAAGGAGGACACGCTGTTCATTTGATTTGTAAATTTGTGATCAAACAGATCTCCCAACTAAAATGAAGTGTTGTGGAGAAAGAATAGAATATGGAATAAATTATATCATTATAAACTTGTGTATTATAAACCGAGACCACCGTCTGGGTTTTGTATTGGGCCCTTTAATGCTCTTTTCCTGTGCTGCAATACGAGCCTGTTGTTCTTTTTTTGATTATGGGATGTGCAGTTCGATTTTTAATGGAGGTAGTTGTTTGAACATGTTAGGCTGGTGGCAATATAACATCACAATTACAGGAGCGTTGCGTTTTATCAAGGCTATTTCCATATCGTTGCATCTCTTTACACAAAGCAGAACACACACAAGCAAGTGTTCTGCGTTTCATCCTCAAAGAAGCCTTTGATCCAAGGATCTGCAACGTGAACAACAAATTTGCTTTTTTCTGAGGGCGTATTGGTGTGAGTGGGTAAAGGAAATGGCAGAATGGCCAGTGAAAGAAGTGGACCTGGTGGTAGGGTAAGTGCAATGTATGCATCATGAGGACAGTGGGAAAATGCTAAGGTTTAGCCAACCTGCATGTAGTGGCTGACCACAGAAATAGCCTCATTAACAAGCCTTGGAGAGCACAGCTTAAAAAGGCCACCAGACCTCAAAGCACCTGGGACGCACTGAGCTGGATTAACAAGGATTCAAGCAAAGGGAGCTGTGGTCAATGATCCCCACCGTGGCACCTATATTCTCTTTCAGAATTGTTACAAAGACAAAGATGCCATGTCACTGAGATTATTCCCTCCGTTTTAAGATGATCATAAATATGCTAGATTCCTGAAAGTGGTTTACTTTCCTAGACCTCACCCTCTGCATTGATAACCCCCTCCCATCAACCAATGAAGTCATTAGATTAGGATTAAATCCCTCACTGATTTACACTCACTGGTAAGGGCTGGGTTGGAGGTGATACAAATAGCTTTCGGCCCAGGGCTTTAGCCAGATTAAACCGCTCCAATGTCATTAGAACAGAGCCATATGCGCCCTATCATTTCATGAATCTTTGAGGTCCTTGCAGGCTGGTCGTACGGCGGAAAGTGGGACAGCAAGTGGCAATGCTCCAGTGTCACCGATAGGCTGGGATTGGGTCTTCCTTATAATCTCAGGGGGGGCAAAACCTTGAAAATGAATGACATCATGGTGAAAACTCATGAAACAAAGCTGCAGGCCCACACACCTATTTATAGTTAACCCCGACAGCCCTTCTCCCAGGCGGAAAATAAAGAAGGAGAATCCATGTCAACGCCTGCTGAAGCCGATGATGTGCACTTTGTGAGGGAACCCGTCTCAGCACCACTGCAGCAGTCTAGCTAATTGAAACGTAAAATAAGACCATATGCCTCCACCCATAAACTGGCCGCATTGCGCAGAGAAAGCGGTGCCGTCAATTATTTAATAAATAAAGCGACCGGGCAGAGGGATTTTTCCTCCCTTGGCTTCCACGGTACCGCATTCAGGTTCCATTTCAGCATCAGACTAAAGAGGACAGCGACGGCTTCCACTCGCCTCACAGGCGGAAAAACAATCAAACAAACTGAAGGGTTGTGTTAATGGTTTCTCTGCAATCGATGCCCCAGTCGCACACTTTCAAATCTTCTATTGGGGCTTTTGGGGAAGGTTTAAGAGCCAGCGGCCGAGACCCGTTAACAGAGCCTTGTGTTTGCTGCATTGCTGTGGCCGGACTGTACTCACCCCAGCTGCTAGCCGTCCTGCCCATGAACTCCCTCGTCCTCGGGTTCCAGATGTACTCCTTCCACCCGCTTTTTTCTCCGTCTTTTGACATTTTGTCATGCAAGTTTGGAGCCCTAAATCCGAGTAAACGCGCCCTGCTGCGGATGGGAACAATTGGCCAAGCGGAGCAGAGAGAGAGAGAGAGGGGGGGGAGAGAGAGAGAGATCTACGGCTATGGGATTAAAGGAGGTAAGTAGACCGACCTACTGCAGTGGCCGGGCAGTACAAACTCTTCTTTAGACGATGTGGTCAGAGAAAGAGGGCCAGAGAAATAAAGAAGTCGCGTTTCTGCTCACTAGCGCACACCTAATATCTGCCCTCCCCCCGGTCCTTCTCTGCATGCCGCAGAGTTTTGATGAGTGGTGCAGAAATCTAGTGATACTGCGGTAAAGCGCTGCTTCCGCCTCTCTCAATCCGCCCCCCGCCCGTCTCCGTCCCCGGCAGAGCAGGTCCCGCCCCCTCCCCCCGCCTCGGCCAATCAGCTGCACCGCACCTCCCCTCATCTTTGGCCCAACGCGTGGAAGATGACCAGTGAATTGTGTGCAGGTTGAAGGGCGTCTTTTCATTGGCGTTCAGGGCCACGACGTCACGTCCCTCACAGAAAAACCGACATTACGCCCCACTGATATTTCTAAAGGATTCTATAGGTTTTCTGTGGTTTCCAGTCATAAATAGTAGTCCCCTTTGTTGCGTTTAATTATCTATTATATTAACATTTTACCATTATATTATAATTACACAGGGAGGTAGTTCATGGATTAATCTGTCAGAATAAAATACAAACATACCCTTGAGCCATATGTCAACTGTAAAAACTATTTATGTATAAACTCTTTTTACTCTACATGCGTTTTATTTATTTTTTTACATTGGTTGGCGATTGAGAGCTACAGCAACAGAGTGGAAGTAGCGCCACCACATGGACACAGAGGGTGGTGCAGCCCTTGCTGCAGGAGTGCAGTGGGAACTAAATGTCCACTTCTCCACCATAAAACATCACAAAGCATGAAAACGTGCACAAATCCTGTTGGTTGTGTAAAGTTCATTATATAAAATTTATTTTTAATGACAATATATCAATGCAAATATAGCACTACAGTGATTTCCAAGGTACACCGTATCTTACCATATCAATATAGTATGGCGCTGATATAATGGCCACTGTTTTAGAAGACACACAAAACCAACAGTTTCTGTAAACTACTTTGGAAATGATACCTAGGGTTCCATATCAGTCTGTGAAAAGGAATCATAGTTAGGTGATTGACTTGGAATTGGGTATCATTACTCAGTATCAATGGGACATTTTTAGTGTAAGAAATCTCTGCATGCATTGCACATTTTCCTTCTCCCTGACCTGTGTTTGTTTGAAAATGGACTCAGTAAGCATGAAATACCTGGACCCTAAAACACGAGCAGGTGGGAATTAAAACAAAAGGCCAATCAGTGACTCTCAAACATTTAGATTTAGATTTAGGTCTTCTTTTCACTGGGTGTACTGTACAGCTTGGTGCTAACTATCATAAAACGACAACAACCAAGAGACATTCAAGTGTCTTAATACTATTACAGAAGGGGGCACTCTTCAAGGTACAAACTTCATTTCACGTGGCTTTCAGAAATAAAACAAATATGTAACAATAACCACTATATTAATAATGTTTGTCATGGTAACACGGTGTGGTTGAATGAACAACACCAGTAGTTCAAGATAGCAGCAAAGTATTCAAAATGTCAAGACAACGAGCTGTTGAAATCTGTACACAAATAAAAATTAGTGTAGAAAAAGGGTATAAATAAAACAATGGCACAGCTTAAAGGGAGTCTTGCATACATTTAAATGAACAACTGTTGGACCATTCCTTTCTTTAGCGGGCTTACTGTTTATTAGTCGAACTATAAGTAATGCATGGACTGGCTGCAGCAGATAAAGTACTTAATTCTTTTAGAAAAAACAAGTGAACAAAGTTATGTTTATACAGTATATGCTACATAATATGTATTGATTAGTATGAAAATGGAAATAATTGCTACATTTTCAATACAGTTGTACATATCTATTTACAGTACATTAGGGTTTAATTTCTCCTAAGCGTATACCATGTTTGTGCAGATTGTTCCAGCATTCTGTTTGAGGTGATCAATACTCACAGTCTCATCAGTTGCACCATATTGTACAGTCTGTGTTGATGGGTGTCAGTGCTTGTTTTTCTGTGTGGTGGAACGATCACTAATATGCAACTGTACCATCGATCTAGGTCTCTATTGGGCCAGACTGCACCACCTTTTCTAAACGATATTCCCCCAACCACGTGTTATCATAGTGAAGATCTGCTGTATGTAAAAGTCTGACATGATCATCTCTACACATATTATTTTACAATGCTGTATGTCTATTATGACATGCAGAGACTGACACAGTAAATATGACTTGTTCAAGTCTTGGATATGTATGTTAGGCTAGTTGACACAAGTTTTTAATTATGTTGCTCCAGCGCCCGGAGCATATTGCTATAAAATTGCAGAAACGTTGAGAAAGTAAATAGATTTACATTACAAATATGCAAACAGATACAGTAGGTAGCTTTTACTCCTCAGTGATGATTATTTGCATCCACAATGACAATCTATTGATACCAAGACATTTCATAAGCATTCACGATTTCAAGAAACACTTCAATAACTTTCATCGAGTCAACGTCTCTTCTCATCTGTAAAGTAGTTTCTATGCTAAGTTGGACAACCTTTTTTTTAGAGAAAATATATGATCCCTTATCTCAAGTAGTCATGAGGAAATTTGGCAATATCAATTTAACAAAAAACGTCCCACCCGTTTTTATGACGGCATCTTCATTTTGTGGCAATACTGGTGTTTCGTGGCAAGACAAATCATTGGCAATTAGAACACATTGAGAAGGACATAGTACAGAGCAAGTAGAAATCACCCGGGTAAGAGATCCATTTAGTCTTATTGTAATATGTCCTTTTTTCACTTTTTTTAACACGTCTTTTTTTGCGTTTATTATTCATTTATTTTTTTACCAAATGAGTTCAGAGTTCCCAATAACCTCAATTAATGTCCTCCGATCAGCTTCTCACACGATGAGAGCAGTTACTAAACCCCTTTTACTCTTCTCTCTCATCAAATTGTTCGACCCTTCTTCAACCCATCTCCTCTCTCCTCAGTCTTGCCTTCCCACCTCAGATAGCTGTGTCCCACACGACGGCCTGCGGCCTCTGGCAGGGCGGCGTGCCAGTCTTACGAGGCTCAGGCGTCCGTCTCCAGCTGGGGAGGATGGGCATGCTGTCCTGCTTGCACAGGCTTTTGTCGGGGCGCCTGTGGGCCTTGATCTCTTTGCACAGGCAGCGTTTACGCTCAATGACTTCCAGCAGCTTACCGTCTCTCTGGCTCTGCGTTGCGGACAGGGTGGTGCCCCCGCTGACAGGAGGCTGTCCCTGCGCCAGCTGGGCGAGCTGCTGGAACTGCAACTGCAGGTGGTGTTGTTGCTGAAGCTGCTGGAGCTGCTGCTTTAACTGCAGCTGCTGCTGGTGGAGCTGAAGCTGCTGCTGCTGCCGAGACACACTGGGACTGCTGGGGCTGCAGGGCACTTGAGGCTGGGCCAGACCATGCAGCTGAACGCAACGGAAAAAACATAAATGAATTAATACAGTATTTCTTTTTTCATGTTTTAGTATTTTCATTTCTATGTAACCTGCATTTTTACTGCAGTGATGTCTGCATTGCAACCAATTCTAGCACGTGTAGAATAAAGGTGCAGTTTCTCTGGTAGCCACGAGGATGCAGCGCTGCTTCATCTATTACGGGCGGAGGGAGGGTCAACCAGCCGCATGAAGACAGGCGCTGCAGCACACTCAAACTGCGTCAGCTATGCAGCTGGAATCTGGGCAAAATGTGCTGCTAGAAGACTGCAGCTCATCACTCCAACACACAGGACAGCATTTTCTCTTATCCTCACATTTTCTAATTACGAATCAGCCAACGTAACACACCGTTGCAGCTCTCAGTCATTCCTTTAAGTTAGGCCAGAGGCTTATTCTGTTCAGTGGGCATATCTACCAGCTATAAATAGATCTGTAGAAGCACTGTCTCCAGCAGGAAGGGGGTAATAATTAGACCCATTTATTACAAATTTATGGTGAACAAAGTTAATAAGAGTCTAAAGTTATACGGCTGGGTGCTATATATTAACCTGATTCAGGGCTTCTCGCACTGGGAGGCTGCTCTGTCTCTGGACGTCTCCTCCACCCACCTGTCTCACTCCAGCAGCAGAGGAGGAGCGGCCCAGCCGCCCCACTTCTGTAAAGAAACACAATTTACAATGTTTTCCCGTAGTGAGAACACAGGGATAGAACTTTTCATTATCAAAAAGCACTGTGAATGTTGAACTACGCTCACGCTAAATCAGACAGAGCTTTTGTTCATTGTGTGCTCCAGATATTTAAAACTACAAGACAGCTATTCTTATACTGATGAACAATGGAGGACATTCACGCAGACATTTGTTCCTGCATCACTCTGTCAATGTTCAATTCTCAGCTGAATACCTGAGATTTCCATTCAATTTAATGTAACAAGAACACAGAATTACATTTTGGTAGTGATCCTAATCTGTAATTTCCACTATTTAACCATTATTAATATGAAATATGATCTTGATTCAATTTTCGAAAAAACAAGTTCAGCATTAAATGTATATATAATATGTGAAACTGTGCAGACGGCGTTGGTGGAGTACGCACTGTCTCTCTCTCTGAACCTGCAATATCATGTTATCTGTTCATGGCACGTCAACATCCATTCATTAATTACCTTATAGATTAATGTTTGACACAATGTCGATTGTAACCAACAGTCATGTATGTGCGTGCTGAAATTTTCTGGAACATTTATTTTATTGGCTCTGCTTCAAAGTAAGTATTGCAACGATTCTCAAGGTGCATGTCTTTGTTTCTAGGGAAAGGCCTTGAGTGCTGATGAAAAGAAATCGCTACAGACAGCCAGCGCTTCAAGGCTGACTTCAGTGCAAGACGATGCAATGTGGGCAGAGCCGTTAGCTTTCTGTGACAGTCAAAGGAGAGGAGCGGAAGGAGTCTCTGATTATTTCCAGTTTAAGTGTGGCTATACCACAGCAGAGCCACCAGAGGAATCCCCACGCACATCCAGTTCCATTCTAAATAACATGTTGTGGCTTGAGGCTATGACTAAACGATTATGAACACCAAGTGTTTACTCACCTCCGTTGCGACAGGCAGGGAAAGTCTGGCAGGGAAGCGGCAGACCAACTCTGGGCAGGGCTCTGAAACCCGGGCTGCTGTCTACGCCAGCCACGGACTCACTGAGCCCGAGCGCCCTGCTGGTGGCACTGCTGAAGTGGACCGGTATGCCGGAGTGGCCTCCACGGGACCCCATTCCAAGGTCCTCCTTGTCCACCCTTAGTAGGGCATCGGCGCTGCCGTTCCACGCACGACCTTCGTCCTCTGAGACGTGGAGGGGAAACAGAATGACCGTTTAAAAATTCCTTCAAAAGGATCAACGTTTTGTGTTCAAAGGCATTTCTGACTTACTCTCTGTCTCTCTGCTCCCATGGCTGAAGGACAATTTCCTCTGCATAGGCCAGTACGACCCCTCATCTGCAGCTAAGCTGGCACAGTCGTCCCAGGGCATGAAGCCAACTTTAGAATGGAGGGACGAAGACCCTCCGTTGCTCTTGATTGAACCCTCGCCTACCCCAGTAAGACTTGAAGGCTGTTGCAGGGACGGCGTCTGAGAGCTTCCCCGCAGGCTCTCGTAAGCCGGAGGCCTCCGGAAGCCCCCGGAGGGGTAGGTCCACAACAGGGGGCTGTCAGAGGAGGGCGGCTTGTACGCCGGCAGGCCGTGAGGAGTGTGAGAGCGGAGGTGGGGGCGCGAGTGAGGACGCTGGGACGAGGATAATGGCGTAGGGGTAGAGCTGGTGCTGCTTTTGGACGTGGAGGGGGTGTGATCCAACTGTAAGGAGTACGGCCCTCCGTCCCTGTCCCGATCCCTTTCTCTGTCCCTTTCCCTGTCCTTGTCCCTATCTCTGTCCCTGTCTTTCTCCCTGTCCCTGTCTCTACCCCTATCCCTATCTCTGTCCCGGTCCCGGTCGCGGTCCCTATCTTTGTCTCGGTCCCTGTCCCTGTCCCTGTCCTTGTCTCTGTCCTTATCCCTCTCTCCTTTGTCGGACTTCAAGAGGAAGCTCACAGACTTGCCCTCCCTGCCTGTACTTGAGGTTTGGGTCTGGACGGTAGCCTGGTTCTGAGAACTGCTCTTGAGGGGAGCGGGAGAGTCCCCTCTCTCTGGCTTGCGATAGTGGTGGTAGTGCGAGGGCCGGTGGTGCGGGTGGTGGTGGTGGTGATGGGAGAAAGGGGAGGTGGATTTGGAGGAAGGCGGCAAAGGTGTGGAGTGGCTCCTGGCCCTCAGTCCGGGAGCGGGGCCCCACTGGGCGTCCCTGCTGTTTTTGTCCTGCTGGGACGAACTTCCTCCTGACTCCTTGGAGCCCGACAGCGACGAGGGAACGTTGGAACAAGTTGAGGAGGAGGTGCTGGCTTGAGTTGTCACGCTCGATGTCTGAGTTCCCATTTTAGCAGACGCAGACTTGTTTTGCACCCCGACCCCGCTGGAGGCGGCTGCCGGCTGTGGGAAGGCGAGCAGCGGGGGCCGGTGTTGTAGAAGATTGGGGAAAGGGGCCGGGATCTTGGTGTTGGACTCGGACTCGGATTTAGTCCCTTGCAGCAGGTATGGAGTAGGAGCTCGTGGAGTGTGCGGACTGGTGGAGAGGACCTGGAGAACGGGGGTAGAGGACGCAGATGAAGGCAGAGGAGACGAATGGGATATTGACACGGTGGCTTTGGATTTGGAGTAGGAAGGAGAGGAAGAGGAGGGGCGCGGCAGAGAGGAGGAGCTGCTCGAGGAGGAGGGGGTGACATGGAAGTGTTTGGAGGTTTTCAGTTTCTCATGTTTGTGAGGGAGGTGTCTCTGGGACTCTCTGTTCTCTTGCTGTGGGTATTTCATCTCCTCATAGATGGCTTCACTCTGGTCTGAGTCAGAGTCGGGCGTGGTAGCCACCGGTGTGACAGGGTGGGGGGTGGCTGTCTGGCTCTCTCTAGTGAACACTTGGCCCACCATCTCTATATAGACCGGCTCGTCCTCCCCGTCCCTTTTCTGAATCTGAGAGTCTGCTGCCTGGAAAGGCAAGGGTGTGGCAGAATGAGGCACGCGTGGAGGGAGGGACTCAAATGTAAGCTGGGTGCTGGGACTCCTCTTGGGCTTCAAAGGAGGCACCTTCTTTCCTCCGATCTCTCCGGAGTCCGACTTCTTCATGGCTGTAGGAGAAATTGAAATGATTACTGAAAAAAAAAGTATTTTTCAATGGGCAAAAATCCAACTGAAAACACACTGCTTACCGTTTTTCTTCTCCGAGTGTTTGGTCTGTGAGTGAGAGGACGCGAGAAGCGGCGGCATGTCAAGGAGTCCTCTGCCGTCAGAAGAACTGAGGCGAGTGCTGGGGTGACGCTTGGGTTTGGTCGGCGGGCAGCGGCCACAGTGTTGGGATTGGGCGTCGGGGTAATCTCCATTTTCCAGACTTGTATCCCCAGCACCTACAGCGTGGCAGGACTGCGAGCGCGGCGCCATGGCGGAGGCACAAGAGTGAGGAGACAGGTCCTGGGAGGCCGGCATGGTCATGAAACCCATCCGGAAGTGCCTGCGGAAAGAAGCTAAGTCTCTAACTTTGCCAACAGTGGCTGAGGAGTCGTTCTGATTCGAGCTGCAGTTTGGAAATGAGGTTGGGGAAAAAGTGGATAGGAGAAAATATTGAAATATTGAAATCATAGTTAAGTGCAAAAACATTCATGTACTAGCCTTTATACTGACCTCCCTCTTTCCTCACTCTCTCTTTGGTCTTCAAAGATTGCCTTTACAATAAAGAAATGCCTGCTGGGTTTCCACTGCAAAGAGAAAGCCCTGGAGGCTCCTCCATCTTTCGCATTCACATATCTATCATCTGAATTCCTCTCCAGCTGCTTCCTTCTCAAACACATTCAATTAGGAAATCAATTTCCCCCGTCAAAAACATAGTACCCAAAGTAGAAACTACCCTCCTGGAACTCCCTATTTCTTTATATCCTCAGCCGGCCCGTTTCCATGGGAACAGTTGTGAGTGTACATGTGTATTTGATAGTTTGTTTGAAATGAGGTCCTGTGCAATGAAACTGACAAAGAGAGAAATCGGACAAAATAATGCTGCTTTTAACTGAAAAGGTGGAATTGCATTCTTTACTTTACTCTTTAATCGACCTTGGCAAAGTTGTGGAACACTTTTATTGAATATAAAATGTATAATGTACCTTTTTTCCATTGCCACCAGAGAATCCAGATACTTGTTGTTATCCTTTATTTTTGTCCCTCTGAAAAAAACAAAATAACACAAAAGCTTATCATCTACTATGAACCAATTGTGCCAAGTTGCTGAAGTCATGCAGTGAAACGCCGTCTTTATTAACAAGACTGTACCTACTGTACTTACACAAAATGTTACAGGAGAGGACAGAAAGCCTTTGCACATGGTGGAAGTAACATAACAAGGAGGAAAAACAGAAATCACAGCTAAATCAGGCTGATTCTTATTCAGGGTTTGTGTTGATCAGATCTCAGCCACGGGGAGAACATCTGGAATACCACATCTGTGTGTATACATTTGAGGCTTTGATAAATATTGTTCCTGAGTGTGGAATTAAACAGCTCAAATGCACAATTATTCAGTGTCTAAGTGATTCATTATGGTACATAACGGCGACACATGACTATGGGTCACGCAGCTCTCTCTTTTAGATCTGTTGCCATCCCTTTGAGGCAGTGAAGCACAGGAGAATACAATTGGAGCTTACAATTCGGCGTCAACATTGAAAGCAGCAGAAGCAGAACGGAGGCTGCTCACCAGCGAGAACACCGAGGCTCCTGTTTGCTCCCACCTCAAATATCCGTGCGAGGCAGTGCACGTGCAATGCTGGAAATGGTGCCTGTGTGTGCTTTGTGGGGCAACAAAGTGTGCTTGCGTCCGTGCGAGTATGTTTGTGCCCTGCAAGGCCTGTGGAGATTTACGTGTCACACCTCACAATCGGCACAGATACTACACAGCCAGAATTAGCCCAGAGCAGAGGTTGAGCAGCTCCTTCTGTTTTTTGTTCTCATACATAGAGCAGAAGAAACGCTCTTTAAACCAAGGCCAAACATTTAGCTCTTGAGAACAATGTTTTTGGATCCCGTGCATTTTTTTTAACTGAATATGTGTACAACACAATGCATTGAGCCTTGACAATTCAGGACAGTGTAGAATCTTTTGTTAATCACTGGTTTGATCTGATTGCTTTTTAAATCATAAATAGAGTTTAATCAGTACCAAATCATATATCTTCTTCTGTCTCACTTTCCTCAATGTCCAAATTGGCAATGTTTACGTCTGCATTCATATGAGGCATTTCCAAATTGTTTCTACTAAACAGTTTACTCAGGAGAAACAATGTCAATGTTCATCATCTGTTGCCTTTTGAAAGACACCTTTGATATTCCCAAAAGCTTTTAATACTGTGGTGATGAAGCTTCTTCTGGAGAAACCCTAGTTGAGATCATTCTGCCCCTAGCTGCTACTGTCCTGTTTCTAATTTACCTTTTTGGAGCAGAGTTTGAGAATGGGTTATGTTTAAACAGCTGAATGAGATTATCTTTAAAAAAAGAAAAGAAATCATCTTTGAGAATATCCAATCTGGTTGGAGGGCAAATCAGAGCAGTTAAATTGCGTCGGGTTAAGGTTAAGCAGCTGACACTGAGTGTGTAGCCGTCCTCATTCTTTTGAGCCTTACTGACATATTTGACACAAAGCTCGACACTTAAATGGATTGCCTTAATTTACGGCTTGTCTCTAGGTTTTGAACTAATATGATTTCTTAAGATTACATAGAAAGTGAGACTTCCATTTGGCTTAACTCAAAGGAATAAAGCACAATATGGTCTATATAAGAGTATGATTGTAGTCCTGTGATACACACACACAGGCGCCTCAGTAGGTGCCCCTATAGCAACAAAACTAAAATACTTTTTCCATTCATCTTTTCACTGCATGTTCACAATGAATAACACACAGAAAAACACTTCTGGATGATTTTCAAAAATAAATGCTTGTTTGTCTGCCTGAAACTCCAGACTTCTTAGAACGTGACTTTAACTTTCAAGTGCTTTATTCATGTGACAAAAACTGTTTTTTTGGTTCATGGGGACACGCTGACAGAATAAGGAATACATTCCCATTTGGTTGCCATGACAGCTGAAACAGATTGTATTCATAACAAAACTGAATGAGCCAGAATCATTCACAAGGTGTTTTTAAAGGACTGAATGTGCTTTGAACAACGGGCTTAAGATGTAATACATAACAAAGGCCTCTATTTCTGAGTTCGATGTATCTATAAAAGGGACATAACAGACTCTGTTTATCTCAATATATCGTAGATAGATTAAGATTCAGGTCGATAAGTTGATAGAACTGAGAAAAAAAAAATATATATATATATATCCAAATTGAGATTTCAATTGTTCAATTGTCTCTGTTTAAAATCATACTTTTGTCTCAAACAAAAAATAACAAAACATTAAGCTTTATCTATTTCCATTAAAACATGTTATATAGACAACTGGAGTCATAACTTTGGGCCTTTTTTCAGCTGTCACATAACTGTCCATCACGCTGGTCTCATTATTTTGTGCAAGAATAAATAAAACCTCAGCTGTCGGCCTGTATTAGCGCCATATGATTTTTTTTTATAAATCATACTGAAACTCACCTATTTACAACTCACTTTCTCCACAGCTTTGTCTGTTTCGTAAAATGTGATTTTGCTCCAGTGGGCCCTGAGATCACAAACTGTCTTCCAGTGCCCTTCATACTTTTTCCTGTGCCCCCCCCTCACTCCCATCAGCTCTGCAGTCCATTCGGCTTTCATCCTCCGCTCCCTGTGTGGTTTCCACCCCCCTGACCCTGCCCTGTTCGTAATCATCACTAGTCATGTCCTGCTCCTCACCTCGGCTGCTCGGGCAAAGCTTGGCTCTGCTTTCATCGCTCATCATGTCCCGCTGTCCTGCTTGCCTCCCTACACCTGCACTGGCCTGATGCTGCCATGGCGTTGATCTCTGCTGCCAACACGAGGGTCTCCAATTATTGCTGTGAGTCAGAAAGAGGCGTGCGGCGCTTCTAAACGAAATGTGTCAAAATGTCCTGGATGCTCCCTCTCCCCTCTCATCGGCTGAGCCCCCTTTTTACCCTGTGCCATTTCCGATGACATTATAGTAGTTTAACTCATTTAAAGAACACCAAGTTCATTATGAAGTTTTGCCGTGCAAATTTGTCCAGGACTTTTCAGGCAAACCCCTGTGACTTTATGAACTGAGCTTGGAATTAAGATTCTGAAACTAAACTCGCTCCTGCTGGCTAAGAGGTTTATATCCAAACTAAACTGAACCCTTATGTAATCCCATATATGCAAAGCTCCCGTGAGCTCACCCTCTCACCTCTTTTTACTTCCCTCTTGGTCCCTCTGCCTCCAGTCCAAACGGCTCTTGCGGTACAGCAGATTCATGTCGCTGCGGGGTCGCTCCTCCTCGCAGCCTATCACAGCGCAGTGCAGCCGCTTGCTGCGCCTCTCTATGTCACGCAGGAAATGCTCGACTGCCACATCCTGGGCAGAGCCAGAGCTCATGGTATAGAGGAAGACACGGGAGAGCAGCACGTACGGTAAACGGCCTCCTCCGATTGACCTAAACAAGGAGAAACAAGGAGGAAACAAGCGCAACGTTTGAGCTCGTTAATTATTAAAACATGTTTCATTGCGTCACGGCCTACTTGCACACTGACAAGATTGACAGCGGTTACGCACAATGCAACCCAAATAATCCAACCCAAATTGGAGGCGGAACTTTAGGGAAGTCATAGCTGGTCATGCTCGCCCATTACTCCAAGTGGCAGCCTTCAGAGCAGAGACACAGTGATGCATGATAATGGAGGTCGCAATTTTGTTTACACCAACCCCTAGTGTATCACATGAAAACTATTTATACTTTTATTATCCAGTTATGAATATTTGAGTAAGCATGGTAACTCAGCTGCGGAGCCTCTCTGGCTGCAGGCCCCGGGATGGCCTAGCTAAGCCTGTCTGCTAGCCAGACAGTAATGGGGTTTGTCATATGTGGCGCATGCACAGCTTCCTATTCACGCTCACCCGAGAGAAGACAGGCCTGTTGTGGGGCAGATATCGGAGGGCCCAATGGTGTTTTCACGTTGGAGAATAGGAGTGTGCAACGCAATTGGCTAAGCAAAGCGCAGTGGTCAGCTGACGCATGTTTTCAGGGGTTTTCCATCATAATTGTCTACAGAGTTTGGCTGCTTCTTTTAGTGGTGGACGGCATTATCAGTGATGCTTCTGGCATCGTTTTGCTTGAGTTGGTGTTGTGCACCAGCAACGCTGTTCAAGTCACTTGATTCATTAAGTTAAGCTTCATTTATTGTGTTTCCAAAATAGTTTTTATTTATTTTAATAACGCATTGTTTTCGGTCTCACAAAACAAACAGTTACATATTATGAACCAAATTATGTTCTTTACCGGATTCTTTTGAAATTACAATTGTGTATTCTAAACATATTACAACAAAAGTGAATCCAGTTTGGCATGTAAAGGAAGAAAAGTAAAAAAAACACATTTATACTTTCCTGTTCTGTACATATTTAGGACGACTTCAACTGCAATCGTCACCAACTGCACAACATCTTCACTGTACGAACAATATCTCAACAATTCCCCCCTATAAAGACAAAAAACTAAACACAGCGAGAGCATCAGGAACCGTCATCTGGTCCAGACGGCATGTTGAGCCGCGTAGCTGTGTGTGATTCCTTTGTCACGGGCCCAGTGTGTCATCCAGTGTGTCAGCGTGGCTACTGCTATTCTTGTATCACACAGCCCTCACCAGGACCCTGACTGCTGCCGCTGCCATGCTTGCTGACTCAATGCTAATTAGGTTAAGGAGCTGCGACTGTAGGTTGGGCTTTCGATTTGGGGTTTTCGAGGATCTGGCAGCTGAGAGGGCAGCCCTGCAAGTGCTGCGGTACATGCCAAAGGTTGGTGTGCACCTAGCGGAACTAAAAAGAAGCTTGAGAACTTAGACTTTATCCCACGACTGCACACAAGTTTTTCTAATCAGGCTCTCTAACAGACTAACACAATACGCAGTGCAATCACATAGGTGCCTGAGGTCAATCGCAGAGGTCACTTTAAATACCTAGTAAATTCAGAGCATTTGGCAAGTTGTCTAAGGAGCATCTGCAGGGTCAAGAGTCGCTTGGATTGCTCTCATTGGATCCAGAAGGCAAATGGAACCAAGATTCAGTAGATCTGCATGCAACGCTGCAGAATACTCATTCATGTACGTAAGCAACCAGATCACACTCACTCAAATCTGCCATACATGCTGAATGAGTCTGCACGCACAGGGTTAGTGTGACGGCGTAATTGCAAATGCTAAGCAGCTGAGTGTGAGTTACAGATGACAAGGAATTCTGATTATTATCAACAGAAAATTGGAAAGTGCAAAACATTTGAAGCCTCTGGGTGTCAAAATCAGATAGAAACATTAAGGTTTTGTCTATGTCTGAAATATTTTTGGAGCTGTATTCAGTTTGCTGTAACCCTCTGCCCTCCAGCATCCACCTCAGCAAGTGGCCCTGTAGTGTTGCTGCACCTCACTGGGAGCGAGACAGTAACACTGCAGGGTGGAGGGACACATCACAGCCCCGGCACGGCCTGGCCTTCACGTAAAAGGGCAATATTTCTACGAAGCATATTCAAAATACACATTTAATCACTTTGGAGGACATAATCCTCTTTTTATTTTACAGAAATCCACAGACAGAGTGGTTTTAAAGCCAGATATTTTGCAAACAACAACCTGCCACCATTTATGAGGGCAAACAAATCTTTGATAACATATACTTCCGTCTGCAAAGCTGCTTGAATAGAGGGCGGATAGTACAGAACATCTTGTTTATTATAGAATTCAGAGTCCTAGGACGACTAGGAATGCTTCACTTGGAGGCTGAACTCCAAGGACAAAATAACTTAAAACACAAGATGTGGTACATATGTTTCCCGTATCTGCGCATCCATATACACAGCCGCACTTCAGCCAGACACAATGCTGCAGTCCCGCTGGAGAAACAACCCGAGAGAGAGGACGAGGGAGGCAGAGAGGAAGCAGGAGCGAAACGTTCAAGAGAAGAATGAGCAGCAAGAGAGGAGGAGGGAGTAGAGGCAGCGGGAGGGAGAGACGGGAGGGAGAACGTGAAAAATGGGCAAGCCAATAAATGGAGAGTCGCAGAGGGATCAACTGCGCTAAAGATAAATATGATTAGACAGAAAAACGTAAAACTCCAGACAGGCTGATGGAAGGAGACATTGAGGATCGGTTGATTGGGAATAAGCAAATGGAGGCGAAAAAGAGAAGATAGAAAAACAGTGAAAGGCAGCCAGACTACAAGAATGGGGGAGGGAGGTGAAATCAAGCCTCTCACACTCATCGCTGTGTGTGGTCTCCTAGCAACACTGTCAGCCATGCATCTCTTCCTTAACCACTGAATATGCAACAAAGACGGACGTCAGCAGTCATACGTGATGGTCCCAGGGTTAAACTTCACTGCGGCTTCATTCGTACCTGATCCAGATTTCATGTATCTTAAATGGCGAAAGCATCTGTTTCCAATAGCAACCATACAACCTTGCTGCAACCTGACTAACCGAGCTACGCGCTGCACACTCTCACGCTGCTCTTCAGGCACAAGAAGCAAAACACAATCTGACAAACACACACAATAACCTGCTATTTTCATTGATTGCTAAAATTCATTACACTCTTTTATCAGTTAAATAACTCCTCTTGAAAGTGTGGGTATGGGAATTAGGTTATTAAGAATAAAAATCAGGTATATATGTTGGCAGCACAGTAATGTTTCATTGCTTATCACAGCGGTAAAGAGGGCCTTGAAGTAAAAGAGACATTAATGTGAGCTTGGAAAATGAACTAAGACTAATACTGAAACAGGAGCCCCATGAAATCAAACCTGGTTCCCCTCAAAAAAGTAATATACAGACGAACGTTCACGTTTTTTATGTCGAACACTTCCACGTGTGCTGGTGGAGAGTCCGAACGAAACGCGGGCTAAGTGAGTACATAATCCAGTTGTTAAAATATTAGCAGGGCCAATTCTGTGTAATCTTTATTTTCCTCTATCAAACATTCATATGAGCCGTAATTTTATTACCATTTAACGGTCGGCAAAGCTAAAACAGCTTTCAGAAGATACATACTGAACATGGCCGGGGAAATAAGGTCCGCAGGGGATTAATTTCCTTCCTTTACCAACATCTGGTTGGCCTCTACTTTTTCACATTCAAACGCACAGCTGATCTATTTCAAGCTTTTATATGCACATAATAAGCACATGCACAGATAATGTCCTTAAAATGTTATTGCAGATAATTCCTTCTGTTTCACAATATTGACAACAGTCGTCAGGGACCCCATCTCAACGCTGGTCTACTGACACGCTCGATCCGTTTACAACGTCATCTTCTCTGTAGTGGAGAGTTCCCCCGTGATGGTAAGGTGACGCAATCCACAATACAGGTTTTTAAACACAAATTGTTCATGTCGAAAATGTTTTAAATCAATTTGGCGCATTCAACCAAACAACTTTCTTCTAAATTCTCAGTTGTATTCGCCTGTATTACAAACACTATGTTTGATCAACAACTCTTTTATTTTGCCTGTCCACATGCTGAGTCTGGCCATGCAAATAACAATAAATGATGCCTTTGCACGTGTACCTCCTCCCAAAGAGCAGGTGAGCGGTTGGAGGGCGATGCTGTCGGGCACAGGATGTTGCAATCCTCCGACAGCCTCATGGAACATGCTGACATTGAGACGTCTTAGCCTTAAAACCGAAATCCTGGGAAAGCTCTGCCAGATTGACGAAACCTTTTTGAGCAACGTCTACTGTTTTGTGCGTTTGAGTTTTCGCACACGGGCTACGACCAAATCAATCTCGCCCTCCCGAACAACAAAACGATCACCTGAGAAGCCGCTTGATGTATTTCTGTTTGTAATTGTTACCACAAGAGCCTTATTTCTCGTTATCCTTTCCTCACCTTTGCCTGCTCTGGGTTGCTCCTCCAATCTACTCAAAATATATTCTGGATATTCTCATGTGCTCAGGAGTCACAAAGTGAAAGAAAGAACATTTGATTATTTAAATAATTCCCTCATTGTGCATCACTAAACCAGGAGTCATTTTCTTCATCCTCGGGTTATATGGGGCTCTTTACAGCTTTGCCATTGCCTCAACTTGTCTTCTCCTCATAAAGTACTGCTGTTGTGTGCTGAACGCTCTACAATATTGCATTGTGCAGGGACATGCCTCTGGCTGATGCCTGTCTGAGAACGGACAGTAAGAGGAGGAAGAGGAGGAGGAGGAGGAGGAGGATGTAGAGGATGATGTATCTCTCCAGGGCAGGAATGGAAGGCAAATGCGAGGCGTAGAGGAATTTTGCTAAATTGCTTGACCTCGTTCTGATGTTTTGGTCATTATATAAAAATAAATATCCTCAGTATTTTGTTTTCTTCTTCTAAGTAAGGCCAAGTGGGATAAATAGAACCTTAACGGCATGTTACACTATTTTTGGGGGGGACTTGTATTAAATATACATGC